GTAAATGTAAACAACAATTATAACTGTATAATCATATCAAACTGACCGTAATATGTAAAAGAAAAATTGTAGCTTTGTACTATTCACTCGCAAAATAAAAAAATGAATAAACATTATAATGACAATAATAACAATAACGACCCCCCCCCCAAAAAAAAAGTAATAATAATAAATAAAAAAAAAAAAATATATATATATATATATATATATATATATATATACACTCGTAATATCTATATCACAACAGAAACAAAAATTAATATCGAAATTTAATGCTATTCAGTACTAACCACTTTCATTACAGAAGAAATTATTACCAACCCCTCCCATCCCCTCCCCCCCCCAAAAAAATGAAGGTATCCATCGAGAGAGACTGTTCGCTCAATAAAAAAAAAAAATAATAAATTGATAAAATAAATAAATAAATAAATAAATAAATAAATAAATAAATAAATAAGTAAATAAATAGATAGATATTTAAATGAAAACACGTACTGTTACGTTGCAACCCGTTTTCCCCTCAAGGAAAAGCCAGTAAATGTGCCTCGAGGACCTGGTAACCTGTTCTACTAAAGGTCTCAACTCGGGAGGGAATAAAATGCACAAGCCATCCCTTTGGAAAGCAGAATATTGCTTGCTCTTGTGATTCTGCTATAGAAATCGGTTACAGCGTAGGGTATGTACTTAAGGATTTTGTGGTCGGATTTGTCACAGGAATGAATATATGGCATGAGAGGTTGGGGCTGGAAAAAAGTCGTAATTTTGTTCCTGTCTGTTATAAAAATGTTATTATTATCATTATCATTGTTAATATTATTATTATTATGATTATTACCATTATTATTATTATCATTATTATTATTATAATTATCATAATTATTATCATTATCATCAATAGTATTTTCAATAGTATTATCAATAGTATTATTATTATCAATAATGTTATCATTATTATTATTATTATGTAATACTGATATATAATATAACATAGCACAGTTAGTAGAGGTTAATTTACTTCCGTAGTTAAATTTATTTCGTACGATAGAGAAAAATTATATAATGTGATGATAGTCTTTTTTTCTGCAATTAACTTAATTATGCTGTGCGTGTTAACTCAGATGCATCGCTCCATTATAATGCTAATGATACGACACCAAAAGGGATTTCTGGTTGCTACACTGCAAGATGATTTTAATGTTTTGACTTCCTATATTCCTTACCCACACTCAGAAAAAA